TTATCAACTTTCTTCCTCACACTGGGCAAGTAAACTAGTTTCTATATTCCTCATTTTTAAAATAAAACTAGAAGAATACTGGCCTACTGTAGGAAACTATTATAAGGAATTCTGAGAAAACAAAATTTAAAGCACACATTCAATTGACTCAGAACTATTTAAATAACAATAATTACTTGGTGAGTTTTATTGAGAATCTCTTAAGTACTCAGCACTTTCACTTGGGAGATATGAAAAAATAATTTTTCTATTCTATTTTATACTCTAATCACTGTATAATATTCAAATGAAGAATTTATTTCTTAAAATAAGTGAGTTTTAGTGAAACTAGAAAAAAATTATGAAGTAGGTAAAGTTAATTTCTTTTTCTCAAATTCTCTTCTTTAAATCTTAGTTTTCTTCCATCTATTGTTAATATCCCAACAATCCTGGCCCCCCCTCAAACTCTCTTTTTTGTTCCTTTTTAACTTTATTTTGTATTGGTTTTGGGTGTGTAGTTTAGTGGTTAGACAATCATATACTTTACATAGTGTTCCCCACAATATTTTCATTACCCCAACTGACACCAGTCATAGTTTTCACAATATTATTTACTATACTGTCTGTGCCTAAATTTACATCCCCATGAGTATTTTGTAAATATTTTGATTTGTGTTTCTTAGTCTTTTCACCTCTTTCACCCAGACCTGGAGACCCCAGCTAACTGGCAATCTCCATTTTACTCTCTGGGTCAATGAGTCTATTTCAATATAGTTTGTTCATTTACAATTTTATTCTTTAGATTCCACATATAAAGAAAATCATATAGTATTTATTTTTCTCTGAAAGACTTATTTAACTGAGCATAATACACTCTAGGTCCATCTGTGCTATTGCAAATGGTAAAATTTCATTCTTTTTATGGGCAAGTAATATTTCACTGTATATATGTAGTATCATTTTTTACCCTCTAGTCTTTTGATGGGCACTTGGATTGCATCCATAGCTTGGCTATCTACACTAATAAAAGAGAAACATGTAAATTGACTGTACCCCTGCTTCCCCCACAAGCCACACCCTCCAGCCAATCAGGAGTGAGCATGCAAATTAACTCAACCAAAATGGCTATGGCCATGGAGTGAGCTAGAAGGTTGACTTTCCATGGCAATGAAGGAAACCAAGCTTCCTGCACATCCTGGCCAGCCCTGGCCTCCTCTCAAGGCTATGAAGTTTCAATTATAGAAATTAATAAATCCCAACAAAAATGGCAGCAGCCACAGAGCTGGAGAAAGCAGGAGGCTTTGGTTGCCCCTAGTGATGGAGGAAGCCAAGCTTCCTGCCTGCCCTGGTTGGCCCTGGCATCTGCTCAAGGCTATGAACTTTCAATTATAGAAGATAAATAAATCCCAGATACCAGGGCTTCCACTTGGGTTGCTGGGGGATGTGGCTGGCCTGAAAATCACCACAGACCCCTCATCCAGGCTGCCCCATGCCCCAAGGGAACCCCCACCTTGATATGTGTCACACTTCAGGGCAAACCAGCTGGCCCCCACTCATGCACCAGGCCTCTATCCTATATAATAAAATATATAATGTGGACACAAGATGGCTGCCAAAAGATGGCCAGCAGAGGCGGGCAGTTGGGAGGGATCAGACCTGCCAGAGAGGGCAGTTGTGAGAAATCAAACCTGCAGGGGATGATAGTTGGGAGAGACTAGTTCTGCAGAGGAGGGAAGTTGGGGGTCACTAGGCCTGCAGGGAAGGCAGTTGGGAGGTACCAGGCCTGCAGGGGAGGGCAGTTAGGGATAACCAGGCCTGCAGGGGAGGACAGTTAAGGGTGACCAGTTCTGTAGGGGAGGGCAGTTATGGGCAGTCAGGCTGGCAGGGGAGCAGTTAGGCATCAATCAGGCTGGCAGGGGCATAGTTAGGGGTGATCAGGTTGGCAGGCAGAAGTTGTTGGGACAATCAGGAAAATAGGCAGGTGAGTAGTTTGGAGCCAGCAGTCCTGGATTGTGAAAGGGATGTCTGTTTGCCAGGTTAGGCCCAATGCTACCAAATTTCGTGCACTGGGCCTCTAATCCTATATAATAAAAGGCTAATAAGAAAATTGATCAAATGGCAGAATAACCATCCACTATGACACTCACTGACCACCAGAAGGCAGATGCTCAATGAAGGAGCTGCCCCCTGGTGGTCAGTGTGCTCCCACAAGGGGAGCCTCCCTCAGCCAGGAGCCAGGCTCACAGCTGGAGTGTAACAGTGATGGCGGAATCCTGTCCCACTTCAGTGGCAGTGGGACATTCTCCAAGGACTTCCAGACTGCAAGAGGGTGCAGGCTGGGTTGAGGGACCCTCCTGAGTTTATGAATTCTGTGCACCAGGCCTCTAGTTGTGAATAATGCTGCAGTGAAAATAGAAGTGCATGTATTCTTTTGTATTAGTATTTGGGGTTTCATCAGAGAAATTTCCAGAAGTGAGATCACTGGGTCAGAAGGTGGATCTAGTTTTAATTTTCTGAGGTAACTCCATACTGTTCTTCATAGTGGTTGCACCAGTCTGCATTCTTCACTGAAGAAAGATTTATTTTTTTCAGATATTGAGCTATATTATAAATTTACAGTGCATAAAATTTTGTGATTCTCTTGAAACAAACATTTCAACATGACAGAATATAAAACAGCAAATGGAAGACTTTAGTATTTTGAATTAGTAATATATAATTTCTGTGACAAATATTGGAGCAAAAAAGTCCAAAAGTTGGACTCATTATACTAATAAATCTCCAAATGATATTAACTAATGAAATATAACAATAAATCTATATAACTACAAGAGGAAAATTTAGTAATGTGGAAGGAAATGTTTTCTAAAAATCTCTAGAAAGCCATAAATTATCAAAGAAATAATGGCTAAAGTAAAAAATAGTAAAAACCTCTAATGAGCAATTTGATCCCAAAAGATGCCCATAGTATATTTTAGATGAAAAAGTTATTTAACAGAGCAGTGTGTATATTAATAATATTCAACTTGTATATTAGACATGTTTAAATCTGGGTAAATCTATGTAGCTACACATGTCTGCAGAAAAAAATGACTGGACATCTAGTCAACAAATGGTTATCATCTCAAGGCAGTGAAATCCTGGGTAGTTTTGATTTCTTTTTTGTGTAGTCTGAGTTTTATTCAATGATTATAAGTGTACTAGAGGCCCGATACACAAAATTCATGCAAGGGGAGGCCTTCCTTTCCCTGGCTGCCAGCACCAGCTTCCCTATGGCACCCAGGACCTGGGCTTCCCTCGCAGCCTCAGCTTCGTTCAGAAGGTCATTGTGAAGGAAGTCTGGTATAATTAGCATATTTTGCTTTTATTATTATAGATAATTTTTGAGAAAACATACCCTTTGATTACTTAAGGAAAATATGTCTATAATTTGCAGTATTGACTTACAAACAAAAAAAGCAAGGGTAAAATATATTTTTACACACACAAAAAAAAAGAATTGAGTATTGCTGTAAGATACCTAGAGGACTGGCTAAACTAATCAAAATACCTTTCTATAGCTAGATCAGTAGTCTAGGACACTGCTATCCAAAATCTAAATCTTTTGTCTTTGATTTTAATGAAAATTTTGTTCAATATATTCTCATTTTCAAAATAATTCCCAGCTTCCGAATTTGCTTTTCCTATTTGGACAATAAATGCAAACGTGCAATAAATGCAATACAGGAGTGCATTGCAAAGTGCAGAAATGCATTTAAACATTATGCAATCTAAAGACTATTATAATTGGAAAGAACAAAAGAAATAATACTTTATGTCAATACAAAACTTACATTCATATTATTATACTTGAGGCCTAGTGCACAAATTCCTTGAAAGGAACTGTGGGCCTGGAGGCTGCAGTGGGACTGTATTCACAAATTACCTTAAAGATGGGGGATATGTGTAGCTAGTCATGGACATTACTTTGAAAAAACACTTTTGATATTTCTCTTGAAATTATCATGTTTTCTATAATTACAAAATCCACATTATTCACTGGTACTCCTGGTAACTGGGAATCTGAAGGAATAATGGAAATATCCTCAAGCTAATGTTGATGTTGATGCCCCAAATATACATGGACTCCAGTCTCCCAACCCACCTGTACTAGGTTCTAGTCTAACTTTTCTTAGAGAGTAAAGAAGGACATGAAAAACATTTTTTTAAAAACTTCTGAACTAGCAACTGCATTTTTCATTATTAATTCTTTTCATGTAGTGAGAATATATTCCAAACTGATATGGATTTTAAAAGTCCATACCTTTCAGGCCAGTATAGAGGAAGACATTCACATCAATCACAGAATCAATAGTTGGAAAGTGTAATTGATTTGGAATTTAAAGCAGAAGTTCTGGCTCACTTTTTGGCTAGAGGTGGTCTCGGATTTATGAACATGAGCAAAGCACAATTCTGCAACTCTAAGCACCACTGGACAAAATAATAGAAAGCTGACAACTAGATGGTCAGCAGAATTATGGCTGTTGGCCATAAGCAGTTTAAGCAGATGTGATGTGTTTTGATAATGGTGTCATTACCTGAACGAATATAGTAGCAAGGGTAAGCATCAAGGAACATTCTTACTGAGTCAACTTGCCTCATTGTGGTAAGATAAAACATTTGATATTCTAGGTCATTATTATTGATACTAAATGTTTCTGTTAAATCTACATTATGAATCTAAATTTATCTTAAAATTCCACTTGGGAAATTTTCTCTTTAGATATCCAAATTTTCTCCCACAATTTTTCTCTGTCTTTTGTTTGGCTTTATATTTTAAATTATGTTAAATTTAGCCACAAAAGTAGGGAAATAGAATCCTATCTAATGAAAGAGTAATATGTAAATTAGCCATCACTCCATGACAAAAATGGCAGTGCCCATAGCAGATGCTTGTGGCATCACCCAGGCAATGGGAGCCCAGTATCTGCTCCTTGGCCATGGAGCAGGGGAGGGGTCTCTGGCCAGAAGAGTAGGAGCTCAGCATCCAAGCCAGGGCCAGCTGTGAGGTGAGAGGAAAGGAGCCTGTGGTGCCGCAAGCCCAGAGTCCACGCCCCAGTCTTCCATGCAGCGGGAGGGAAGAGGCCTGTGGAGCCATGAGCCCAGCGTCCGCACCACGGCTGTGCGGCAGGAGGGAAGGGACCTCTGCGGCTGTGAGCCCAGAGTCCGAACCCCGTCCTGCCGTGCTGCAGGAAGGAAGAGGCCTGTGGGGTCGGGTCGAGAGCCCAGCACCAGCATCCATGCCCTGGCGGGCCATGCGGAGGGAGGGAAGAAGCCTGTGGGATCGTGAGCCCAGAGTCCGAGTGCCCAGAGTCTGTGCCCCGGCCTGCCTTGTGGTTGGAGGGAAGAGGCCTGTGGGGCCATGAGTCCAGCATCTACACCGCCAGGGCCCCAAGCGGCGGTAGGGAAGAGGCCTGTGGGGCCCCAAGCTCAGTGTCCCGTGGCAGGGGAGGAACCAGAAAAATGGATCTTTTCAGTTCCTGATGCTGACAGAGCCTTAGGGGTGCCAGGGTCCTCCACCTGCAGCCCCTAGTCACAGCCCAACAGCCCCAGTAGCAGACTGAAAGCCCCCTGCCAGCAGTCCAGACAGGACCAGCATGGTGCCTCAGCGGGGAAGGGTGTGTGTGTGTGTGTGTGTGTGTGTGTGTGTGTGTGTCCAGCAGGCATGCTACAGACATCAAATCACTGCTGCTGAGGCCGCCCCCCACCCCCAGCAGTGGGCGCGCGCACGCGTGCACACACACACACACACACACACACACACACACACACACACAAGTAGTATCGTCCAAGGGGGCGACTCCTGAGGAAAGGCTCCCATGGCAGCTGATGCACAGCCAGGCAAGGAAGCCGGACTGGAAAGCCCAAGCACTGGAGTACCGGAGCTGCAGGGCATCATGGGCCTGGTCCCTGAGGAGGTCCCAGGAAAAGCATCTTCCCAGAGGCTGTGTGGAAGGAGGGAAGGAACCTCTGACTAGAGGCCAGGTGAGGGATGCTGGCATCTTTGTAGGCCAAGACCAGGATGAGGAACACCTTCCCTTCCCCCCCCCCCACCCCTGTGCATGAATTTCGTGCACTGGGCCTTAGTAATATAGTAAATATCTATGTACCTACCACATGACTGAATAATAAGTTATCAATAGATTTGAAACCCATAATGAATTTCTTCCTGAATATATTTTCCTCTTTTCCCACCAGAGGATATTGTGATCTTCTTTCTTATTATTCATATGACTCTCTTTAAAATTTTATTACACATACTTCTGTATTAGAGTTCTCCAGAGAACAAAGAAAATCCATAGAACTTATATACCATACATACCTATTAGAATAGTATGGGGAAAACATGACAATTCTAAGGGCTGTCAGAAATATAGAACAACCTGACTTCTTGTACATTGCTGGTGCAAATTCAAAGCACTGAAACCACTTTGGAAACAATATGGCAGTTTATTTTATAGTTAATTGTACACTTATTTGATCACTCAGCAATTTGACTCCTAGGTATTTATCCTGAAGGCATAAAAGCTTAAGTTCACATAAAACCTGTATGTAAATGCTTATAGCAGCTTTATTAAAAATCACCAAAAATTGAAATAAGTCAAATATTCTTCAGCCAGTGAATGGAAAAATAAATTGGGTAAAGCCATATAATGCAATAAAAAGGAATCAACTATTGATGCATACAAGAACATAAATACATCTCAGTTGTTTTTTGCTAAGTAAAAGTGGTCAAAACTGGATTTTGTATGATTTTATTTATAAGACATTCAGAATGACCAAAATCACTGGGACAGAGAACAGATCAGCAGTTGTGGAGACTGAAATTGGGATGAGGATTGACTACAAAGGATAGCACAAGAGAAATTTTAGTATCAAGGCACTGCCCTGTATCATGACAATGGTATATGTATATACTATTGAAATTCATAAAATGGTACATACAAAGACTGAATCTACTGCATGTCACTGAACAAAACTAAAGTATAAAAAATATGTCTGCAATATTTTTATTCAGCTTTCCTGTTCCAGATTTTGTATATGTGTTGAGTTAAATTTTTTTTTAATTTCTGTTCTTAAAGAGGAGACTAATGATAGTTGATATATTATAGATATCCTAGAAGCCCAGTGTATGAAATTTTCTTAAAATGTTTCATAGCCATCAAATGTGTAATCATCCAAAAGTTCAAATTATTTTTCTGTGAGGAATAAGACTAACACCCCCCCCTCCCCCATTTTTTGAATATGTGTTGACAAGGGCACAGGCAAATGGAAAATGTTTCTTAGGAAAACTCTGAGTCATTAAGTTGTCTAAATAATCTTTCATTTTAAGAGCTGTACTTCTTGTGTTAGTATTCATATTTAGTGTATGTATTGAACATTCTGCATAAAAATCCTTTCTCTAGCCCTACATGGTTTTGCTCAGTGAATAGTGTAAAGTATTATTATCAAGCACATACCCCCATGCACGAACATTCATCTGCAAACTCTGGAGGGTAAGAATAAAGACACTTTTACTGATAAATTCTCTTTAAACCAACTTAAAATGACTTTAGTCCCCTTCTTTGTTTAGTCTTCTACTCTTTAGAAGAACATCTATTTCAACTGAGGCCCAGTGCATGAAATTTGTGTACTGTGTGTGTGTGTTGGGGGGGGGGTGCCCTGGCTCTTGCATTTGTTGGGGGGGTGAGGGGGGGGCTTTCTTACCTTCTTCATAGAGACAGAGAAGTCTCTTCAGTTCCTCTGCCCAAAGCCTTTCCCTTTGGAGTATCTGCTGACTCCCATTCTCTTCTCTGCTCAAATGTCACAAAGATATCTTTCCTGACCACCTTGTACAAAGTGGTTTCCTCGCTTTCACTTCTATCTGACTGTCCAAGGATTTTCTTTGTGGTAATAGCAATTGTCTTGCTTATTTATTTGTTTACATGTGTTGTTGGATTTCTCGTGTAAATATTATTTCTTGGAGGGTATTTTGCCTCTTTCGCTCAGCCTTCTGTATTCCTAAATTCCCTTCCATTCCTGACACATAGTCTGCCCTTGCAAGAAGAGGAGTGGATTTTGAAATGCTCCATATCATCATATAAAAAACAAAAAACAAAAAAACCAAAAAAACAGCATAGGGGTGTCAGGGTGAGTAATAGGAGACATTTGAGATGATCTGGAGTTTGAGAAGCTGAAGGAAGCACATCAATGGAGACTTCACTTCTGGCTTTCCCACTGAGGTAGGCATGAGAGCTGGAGCAGTTGACTTACTGTGAATGCCAGATATGGGATCCTTTTGAGTTTTAAAACTCTACAGTTCTATGATTTATTGGCTGTGCTTTAGATTCTAGTGATTAAACTGTGCTATTGTACTTTTCCTAACATAGTCAACAGCCTACACTTAATTTCCTTTTGTTTATATTTGTCAGTAGAAATGTCTGACCTTACCCCAGCAACTTAATATTTTGTGCTTGTGTGTGTCAATTTCCTCACCTACAAATTGAGAGGGAAGAATGAAAGAGATCACTACAGCTTCTTTGGGGCTTTTGTGTTGTTTGTTTTTATTTGTATGCTTGTTTGGTTTTGGCTTTTACACTACAGCATGGTATGAAGGAGAAACCAAATGAGAAAGAACAGACAACAGAAGCCAGCCATGGGGAGAGTTTCCACAGAGCTGCTGCTAGCAAATACCGTGCTGCTTGCTGGTGATTAAAGCCAACTCTCTGTATCGCCTGCAGGTAGAAATGTGCACATTTCTTTCTCACCTTGCAGTACAACAACTCATTGAGTTTTCAAGTGTCATTATGAAATAAGAAAATTGACATATGCTTGTTACATAGTAAGCCTTAACTAAATGCTTGTGAACATGGTCTTTAAAATAAAAGCTCTAGTTATTAAATTACATTTTTAATTTCCAATAGTGATAAAGCTCTGAGACAATAGCACATGTGGAGGCAGCGCCAGTGCTGGAAGAGTGGCCAAGCTAAGAGTGTTAGGATTTTCCGCCATCTTAGTCACTGATACTCTTGGATTCCCATTTCCCTCTTCTCACTAAATCTTGCTAAACACAAGTGTCTGAATTCCTCTCCATTTTCAGCAAATGGATTACACCAACTAACACATGGCTGTAGGAGCATCTCCCTTTGTGTTGTTTACTTGGAGAGTTAATCAGCGGGAAACCAAGATCGATGTCTGCCAAAGGGCTGCTGAATGTCTGAATGTGCCCTGAGCTAAATGACTACGTTTTCCAGTCCCTGTCCTTAATGTAAAAATCAGGGCTCACCTGATCAAATTCTCTTGATTAAGAAGTAGTCATACCGATAATTAGAGTAGAAACCAAGGCCTGCTGAATGCAATGATTAAGAGTTGCCTGGCTTTGTATTCTAGCTCTGCTACTTATCCTCTGACTTTTGAAAGTTAATTTAACCTCTCCATGTCTGCCCCCTCATCTGTAAAAGTAATGCAATATGGTATCAGGCAATTAGTAAGTATTTTATTCATTTTTCTATTCAGAATGCTTGAGCAAACACGTGACTTTGGGAAGAATGTTGTTGGAAAAAAGAAGGTTGCATACAGCTAACCACAGGTTAATCCTGGTGATTAGAGATCCTATAGAGACTGAGGAGCTTGGTGAAAGAAATTCTTCCATAACCATTAACTTAATGAAAATCATGCCACCACTAATTGTATTCTTTAAGCAGTTTATAAGTATCATGGTGTCTAGCTCATTGAAATAGGCTTTGTAACTTGTAAGCATATGAAAAAAGCTTTGTTAAACTTGTTGACTAATAATATGAATCATTGGGAATGGGGGGACGAGAGGGGACAAGTGAGATGGGAGGAAGAGTTATTGGTTTTTCAATCTCTATCTTAAAGTCATTTGTGAGACAATTTAAATGCATACCATGTAATAATAACTAAAATGTAAATTATCTTGTTTTATGATTCAAGTCATCTTCCAGAAGTAAGCAATTGATACTAAAATATTAAATGCAGAAATAAACCAATAAAATGTATAAGCATTTTTACATTGTTGTTTTTTTTCAGTCTCCTTTAGAAACAACAGTAGGTTTAATTCTCCAAGCTTTATGAGCTAGATATAATGTTGAAATCAAAATTATAAAAAACATAGCTAGTTTTAAAATTTGATAAATATTGTTTTGGATCTTTCTGTTCAATTTTATACTTTTTTTTTTTCCTGTGAACAGGCTCTTTTGGTTTGGTTTATTTTGAGTTACTCTAGTCTGTTTTAGTTTGGATAGATTTTTGTTGTTCAATTTTGCTATTGGACCTTAGTGATTATATTCTGTTATATAGGTTAGAAACATAAATGGTCATTCAGCATATTCAATATATTTATGAACCTATGCACATACTGAGATATTAAAGGCAAAATTTCATGTTTTCTATGGTATTTAAAACACATAAAGCACACACCCAGTTCAAGACCTTTGTATTTAATGAGTCTTTGGTCTAAGATGATCTTTCCAAAGCTATTCCCTCACTTCTTTCAGTTACCCATTTAAATGTCACTTTCATCAGCCAAGACCCTTTCTAGCTATGCTAAGTAGCAACTTCTTTCCACCTCTGTACCTCCCTTGTCCCAAGACATATTAGATATTAACATTTAAATTTATTATCACCTATTTCTTAGAAGTTGAACTCCATAAGGTTTAATCTGCTCTGTTCCTTATTGTTTTTCCAAGAATAG